ATTGGTTTGGTGTATAATCTTTCTGGTATTTGCTGTATTATTTTCGTTAAGAAAAACAACATATGTAAATATAAGTAAATATAAACGGCAATGTCCCCTAAGTTACATTATTTGCAATGGTTTGCTAATTGGGTATACAAGACTGATTCAAACGACCTTGCTCCACTAGGAAAAGATGCTTAGCATTGCGGAAAATTAATGCAAAGAGATAACATGAAGGGGTGAGGAAGATTATGTTTAGTATTACATGTATTATAGGTCAATGCTGTGAGCAGTCTACTTTTATTAGGGTCACTAGTTGTGAGAACTTTTCTTGCTTATATTGGTCGATTAATTTGTTTATAATAAACAATCTACTGATATAGCTAGCTTGAATAGTATATTTGATTATATTTTAAAAAAGAGTTGCCTATTATTCAAGGTATTTTGAAAGGTTTTGGTTAAATCATATCATAAAAACATTATTATACATATGAGACTTTTGATTCTTTTGCCTGAATAACTTTATTCCAAACTTTTACAAGAAAAGCATTGATGCAAAGCATCAAAGGGCGTCCAAGCAAGAAATGCAGCAGGTGAAGATGAACTAGTAGATATATGATGACAAGATATTCTTATAAACTTTTCAATGGTTAATTGGTTTTTACCAGAATTGTATATCACTTATGAATGAACGGACGAAAGACATTGTTCATTATTAACTTTGATTGGCATGCTAGAGATTAGAATATTACTTGTTATTTCTTTATGATCGTGGTTATTAATAGCAACGGATATACATGTATACAATCATTTATAATCCATATGTGTAACGCATGATCAACACCACACTTGTGTAATTGTCCCTTATTATGTTATCGCTATTAGCGAAGACCCCCTCTAAAGGTATCTGTTCACACTTACTAACAATATGACACTGGTTATATTACCATGTTGATCATGTTGAGCATAATTGTTTATTATACAATAATTGTAATATCTATTTTAATAAAAAAAATACAGATTTTATGAATATTGTTTTCTTTTCGTTTTTGTGTTTTATGTGCTATTTTAATACTGAGTTTTTACGTTTACTACTATTTTAAGAATTCAATTGTCATTTTGACCCACGATTATAAGTCAAAACTTAACTGAAAAAAGTCAGTAAATTATGGTTAATCTTTCAATATATAATATTGTTCATTATTAAACCATATATATTTACATTTGTATTTTTCTTTATCATTTTTTTTCAAATTATCAATCAATTGTAAAATTCATAAAATCTAATGTGTAACTTTGAATAATTCCTCGGCATCTTTACTAAACACGAATAACAAATTAAATAAAATGTTTCAAAGTTGATAGCGTCATATTAATACCATAAAAATGTACCCTGTTTTCTCAATTATTGTACATATTGTATTTATCTCAATTAAAAATTTAATAAAACATGCTATTGTTGTCGTTGGGTTTTTTTCCGAATTGTATGTTTATGTATAATAATAATCAATAAATTTGAGAGTTGATCTGTGTTTATTAATTATTGTAACCAAACTAAGTGACAAACATTCATTTTGAAAATAGCTTATTTATCTGTAAAATATTTGTTCTCTTCTGTAACGATATCAAACATCTACTCCAAAACCGGGAGAGGCCGGACAATAAACGTGTGGTACTATTCGCCGGTCACTAGTAAATCCCGGTCAAAATAGACCAGGAGAGACCGGGAATTACCGATAGGATAAATAGATTTTCGGAATATTTAGGTCATCAACTCATCATTCTATGCAAGCTTTCGGATATATCACGGATTTATATTACATTATATTGTAATATAAATTCCTGGATATATGTACAACAATAACATACCATAATAACCCACTGTGTACTACAAAATGATAAATAAAAATACCCCGTAGAGCGCGATTTATTGACGGAAAAGGTTATTTCATTTGAAAATGTTTGCATTGCGAAATTCTCCAGTTCGCTATTCATTGTATATATCGCGACATTTCATTTTTAATTAATAAGCAAGCACCCTCATACCGATCGGAATGATCGGCTTTTATTATGTCCGACTAAAAGGCTCGAGAAGTTGCTGTCGCCCTTTCACAAAATCTGATTTCATTCCATAAGAGGCGCCGCGGTTTGGCGCGGACGCCAATCATTATACAGGCTTTAATATTAATTTCAATATAAGTGCAGCATATAACGAAGCGTCAGAAATTTGCATGGTTCTATCACTATCATATCTAAATTTTCATTGTCTTTTATACATCTTTAGATCTACATTTTTTAAAAAGTAAATTTTTATTTTTGTAAAACTTTTAAATACATTCTTAATACAATTTAATACATAAAGTTGTCATCTTTGTGAAAAAACAAAATAGAGTGAAATAAGAATCCCTAAAGAAGGCCCAACGCGGCAAAATTGAAAATGTTGCAGGCACAGTTTAACTAAAATTCACTTAAATATATATTGAAGAGACCATTAAAACTTCTATGAATAATTTTCACAACATCAATCTTCTGTGACGTCATCATTACACAGCAAATCACGTGAATATGATTTTCTTATGCGAGTTTTTACTTTAACCATCATAATTTGAAAAAGAAAACTGAAGTTAATTGTAAATTCGTTACTTTTAATGAATGAAAAATTGATATTTCGTGTTATGTTCTTAACAAGTTACGAGCAATATAACTGGTGTCTCTAGATATATAACCAAGCTTATTTAATGGAGCTGGAACTAAAATTTGTACTCACGAGTTTATTGCTCCCTTTTCGAGAAGAACATCACCAGAAAGACACTATAGAATGGTCCCAATAACGTAACCGACTATCTTCAGAATTATAAAAGTTTTTTTTTCACACAATTTCTGTCCGATATTTTTCTTTGAATATGAACATTCATTAAATTCAGTACCACAATCACTGATGAGGTCATCATCAAACGTGACGTACAAATATCCTTCGTCACACATTTTCATAGACTTTCCGTCAGAAAGCACGGGCTTTATACAATCTTCAATTTTTATACAGCTTTTACCATCTGCCGCCATTGTAGGTCCACATGATGAAACGCAAATAGGCCGGTTTCCGGTTTTCATTATGAAAGGCTTATCAGATGGACATGTCACATTTAGTTGTGAGTAAATCGATGGCTCGCCCTTGAATGTAAACGGTTTCTAAAACAGAAACATATTTATTTAGATAGTTCATATAATATATGATATGTAAAGAATTCCTTCGATGTCTATGAGTAAGAATCTAAATACAATGAGCTATTATTCTATTTTATAAGTCTCTTCTAATTCTACAATCAGCTTCGTCAATTTCTAAAAATAATTATAAAAAGAAAAGATTATACATACGATATACACAATAACAATGTAGAAAGGTTGAAAGATATTCTTGGATCAAAAGACAATAAAACAAAATCCTAGCTAGACAGTGTTAAAACCTTTTTGTAAAAAAACATGGTCTTGATTGAGATGAATGTATGGATCCTGCTTAAGTTAAAATTTTACCAAAGCCATTATTAAGTCCCTGCAAATTGCAAATTACAAATAGTTCGAACTTATATAGGGAACCTCATACACTATTTGTAAAAAGTTCTATTCATAGTCCGCTATGGAATTCATATAACCACTGAACTCAATAATAGCGGGAATAGATAACAAGTTTTACGGGTGAAAAAGGAAACATTACTTTTATTTAGTTAATAAATAAAATAAAACTATTCATGCGTTAATTTATTGACAAGATTGAACCTACATATTTCCTGCTCTATTTATTTAAACAATTATAGCTCTACATTGGGGTAAGTTTAAAATTAAACATTTAAAATTTTACTGACATGAGGACAATACACGAATGAACTCATAAGTAGAATGGTTGAATATTATCAATCCGTAAATTTATGCAACATTTATTGAGAAAAAAACCCAGATAATACAGTCGTATGGTATCTACTTAACAATATAAATATCGCTGTAACCGACTACCCAAAAATAAGTTTTCGTGTTATCACGATAAAAAATGATATATATCGGAATTGCTAGTTAGTCAGATAAATAACGAAGAAGTATCAAACGTTCAAAAACAGTATTAGTGCCCAGACCTGCTAACATTTAAAAGTTAATTTATAGATACATGTAATTATTTGTTTTTTTTTTTATAAAACTCGTTTGTTAACTTAAGTACATGTATCAGATAGTTATCTGTACCACTAGATAAGTGTTCAGTTAAAAGATAAACGTATGGTTAACTGTCGGGAGGAACATGCAACCATTCTCTCGAATTGTTTTATTTTCACTTGCTAAACATATATGATGATGGTTACAATCATGATATGTTATCATATATACTGAATAAGGTGTTCTGAATTGTTCTGAAGTGTTCAATTCATTTTATATTTTAAAATTTATACGAAAATTATGCAGGATTAAACTATTTTTGTTAGTTGATAACATGAATATGTCATTGAAATTTAAATATATTCCATTTAAGTTTAACGTACAAGGATAATCATTTATATTAAACACATTTCTAAAAGTTTAAGATATAGATAACCAAATTGAATATTAACATTATACTTCATGCATTTAATTTAATAGATCAAGAGAACAAATTATTTAAATTATTGATTTATTTGATTAAAAAGCAAGCTTACGCCTTTTACATGTAGGACAAATCCAAAAAAAAATAAACAACACACATCGAAGTTTGCAAACACGCCATTATTCTCATTTTAATGCGGTAGGATCCCCCTGTATTTTCAGTATTGATTTTGATTTGAAAGGCAAAGTGTAACAATTACAATCAGTCATGGCTACGAGTACAGAAAATATTTCAGAATATTCTCCAAATAATTGTCGTGATCAGGATTTAAAAGATAAGATACCAGCTCTACCCGAAGGGAAAACAAAGCATTTCTTTGTTTCTTACACCAGTTTAGACAAAGAACGTGTTCATTCAATAATTGAGAACGTCGAAAAGATATTTGACCGCCGCCACGAGAAAAGGGCACTCGGGCATATATGACGTAACGTCAAAAACTTCGGGAAAAGGAGAGCGGCTAATGACAGCGATTTTTTCGTCTCCATACTTGTTTCGGTGTGCGAGATTAATAAAGTATCGGCTGTATATGAAATTTTTGAGGAAATGGACGAATTCGAGGTAAAAAACAAACATTATGTTATATTTATTTTTAAATCTCTGATTTTTACTGTTATAATATTAGCTTTTTAAAAATGTCTGCTGTTCGCTATGTTTGCAGCTTTAAATCCCGGTCTACGAATTATTCACAGCAATACTATCAGTTTAATGATTTTAAATGATATCACACTTGCAATTTCTATTTTCTTTATTTCATATTTGTTTTTTTAAATTGAATTTTATTATCGCTGTAACCGATTTTTTTCAGCGACGAAATTCTCTCCCCTGTTTGCTATTTTTAGCAATTATTATTTTTATGTAATAAATATTGATCCGCAAATTTGACATGGGTCAGTAGCTCAGTGGATACAGCGGTTGCCTCGCGTGTGCGACGATCGAGGTTCGAAACCTCTCTCTGTCCTTTTTTTTTTTCTTTTTTACATTTAATCTTCTTTCAGTATCATAGTGAACTTATCTTTTTTCTATTATTTTAGGAATTAAACGGATTGTTTGAATCATTTGGAGTACCTGCCGAGCAGAGTCCTACATCCACAGAGGTTGATATTCTTGATGATCTGAGCCAGGAGTTTGAAATCAGTGACAGTGACGAAGAACAGTCTGACACAGAACAGGTAGTGAATGCAAGGATTGAAGAAGTGGTAAGAAATTATGAAACTGTAAATACCAGGGAATCAGACTCAGACAGAGACACTGATGACGCATCATGTAACAGAGCCAGTAATATTTGTTCGTGTAAAGTTGATTGCCTTCTCCAGTTTGACAAAGCTAGTGTTGACAGTCATATACTCTCTATGAGAGAGATTGACAGAAATGAAGCAGAGATGTTCATTACTGGGAGTGTACATCAAATTGCTACTGACGAAACTCTTAAAGGGAAACGCCGGAAACGGACTCGATTTAGATACACTTTTCATGGTAAACCTATCTGCAAGAAGGCATTCATGTATGTCAATGATATCGGATCAAAAGCTTTCCGAAACCTTCTTGATCATTTTACAACCAATGGCGCAATACCACGTTCCCACGGTAACAGTGGAAGAAAACCACACCATGCCCTCGGTTACAATGAGATACGGTTTTGTGTAGACTGGATTGTATGGTATGCAGATATCAATGGCTTACCTATGCCAGCAGCACCCAGGGGCCGTGACGGGGAAGCCCCTATTCTTCTCCCGTCGAACCTAACAAAAGTTTCTCTACACAGTCAATATTGTCAGGCATGTGAGGAGACAGATGTACGGAAGCTTGGAGTGTCATCATTTAAAAATGTATGGAAAAATTGCATTCCACACATTAAGATAATGTCACCAAAAGATGACGTGTGCCATAAGTGTGAGCAGTTGCGACATAATGTTATGGATGCTGTGACGGAGCAAGCAAAACTTGATGCAGCAAATTGTCTTAGAGATCATGTGCAGGTATTTTATATTGCTAATTGTTATCTTGTAATTTTCAAAGTAGCTTTTTATTTTTCCCTTTAAATATTACCGTAGACATTACAATCATAAATATTTTATATACATGTACATTTATTTTGTTTTTCAATGAAACGGTAAAATTACCGTACATTACACTGTATATTTATATAGTTGTTCTTTGGATTGAATAAATCGTATTTAGTGTAACCACAATTTATGTTTTACCATACTGTTTTAGGATGCTCAAACAGAACGTCAGGCGTACATGACAGCGGTAATTCAAGCGAGAGAAGAGATGGTAGGTTACACCCGACCGACAATACCCGTCGCACCATTTTCCCAAGAGTTCAGTAAGGTATGCCTATGACAGTTATGGTATAAGCTATAAAGATCTTTTACAGGTTATATAACCGTTGTATATATAACCCGAGCCGTAAGGCAATTGCAAATTACCGTTTACATTCAGCAAGAATATTTATTACGAATTTATAATAATGCAAACTTTCTTTGTTAGAGGTAATATGAAATAAATTTATAAATCGATTGCAGCAGAGTATACAGATAATATTAACGTCACGATTATCCGGTGACAAAAATGACGTTATAAACGTGCAATATTACAATTATCAGTGCAAATAACATATTGAGAGTGCAATAGTCTGAAGGCTCCTGTCTATATATTTGATAATTCCAAAAATGGTTTTAACAAACAAAACTGCATGGTTTTTAAATTAACAATTTACAAACTTAAGGCAATTTTGTCAAATGTATATGTGATTCATTTTGGAAAAAAAATCAGATGATTAAGGTTTACATGTAAATGTAACTTATATTAGTCAGAATATTAGTAAATAAAGTCATCATTAAAATAGTCAACATACATGTATAATATAAAATGCTTAGAATTTTATTGATAAATATTTTGGTCAATTTATTAGGTCCATATCACTTTTGACTACAGTCAGAGTGTGACAATCCCTCATCACAGCCGACAGATGGGACCCATGTACTTTGTGACAGGCAGAAAAATAAATATGTTCGGTGTCCGCATTGACTCTACAAGTGAGCAGTTCAACTACTTAATAGATGAAGATCAGTCTATAGGTATGTTTATATTTATCAATTAACCATTATACCATGACAGAATAGGATATGTGATTGAATGTAGGTAATTATTATTTCATACACGTACAGGCATATTGTCGTCCTCCCGAAATATTAGTTCCTTGCATTAATGAGTTTTACACTACGCTATATTATTGCCGTTTTTATTAATGGACATAAAACAGTATTTCATATAAATTATTGTCACCTTACAGGTTTAGATGGAACTGGGACACATGGACCGAATTCAGTATTAAGCATGCTCCATCATTGTTTACAGAATTACGGATTTGGCGAGAAAGGACTTTATCTACATGCAGATAATTGCGGAGGTAAATCTTGTTTTTGCATTAACTTATGTATAAAAATATTCAGCATATTCATTGATTAATAATACTAAAACAAGTAATATAAAGTTATTAGCGTTACTTTTTCTTGTTATCAGGTCAAAATAAGAATCGATACACACTGGCGTATCTTTGTTGGAGAGTAAACAGAGGGTTACATGAACACATTCAATTGAATATGGCTATTCCCGGGCATACAAAGTAAGTAGCTTGATATATTTATACATAGCATCGTTGCGTTTGGGTTGTGACTGCATATTCTTAAGCGTTGGTTATGTTACTAAAGTAATAAAAATCCTTATGTTTGGTCACAAAATTAAATAAAATCCTCATATTTTATTCAGATATAAATGAACACATAATTAAGTAACAGCCTACTCAAAAAGTTTATGGCTAAGTGGATTTTACTACTTAAGGTTGTTTTTTATGTTTATGTGATAACTAATTCGTTTGTACTGTCATTCTTTAATTCTTTTTTTTTATTGTTTATCTAAGGTGTCTTGTTGATGGTGGCTTCGGGCGAATAAAAAAGCTATTCAAGAGGTCTGATTGTGAGAGTCTGAGTCAATTTGCAGACATTGTGGATAAATCGGCAAGGAACAATTTCCCTATTTTATATCGAAATGAAAACGGTGATCAGACATGGAAATGGTAATTAATTTTCAACAAAGTTTTAATATTTATTTTTGATAACTAGTAAATAATATAATGTAGGCTTAAACATTATAAGAATCATGTATAATTATGATACTCGGAGTCACGCCGATCACTAGCAATACACATACATGTACATAGTAGAAACAAATAAAAAAGTTATTGATTTTATAATAATCTCTGAAGAAGAAAAAATGCAATGCCTAAAATATTTTTTCACAAAGATGGTATATTTTCCAAAAATAATATACGTTATATACAGTTTTTACTGCATTTTAATAAAATAACATTATTTTAACACAGATATGAGTCGTATTTGACCCGATTTTTCCTACAAGTGAAAGGCATACAGAAATATTACTGCTTCAGATTTTCTGCTGCAGACAAGTCGGCTGTGTTTGTTAAGGAAAGATCAGATAGGGAGGAAGTTCGGGTTCCGCTGATTAGACGTAATACTGACGTTCCAACAACAACATTTCCCGAGGTCGTACAGCCCGCAGGATTAAGTCGTACACGTCGCGAATACTTATACCGTAACGTTAGAAAATATGTGCGTCCTGCATACCAAATTTTGGTCTACAATGTGTATTTCACGAACGGGACTTCCAGGGTGGGAAAAATATATAACAGTAAATATACGTGAAGGAATGATGTCTTCATTAAAGGTATTACTCTTTTTAACACCAAACTTTCTCAAAAGTGGCTGGTGTAAGTATGAAACTGACGTCGCATTTATAAACTCTATGGGTTGTGGCTATAGCTGTATTGTGTCTGTACTGCTTGAAGAATATGAAATACAGCCTACACTTGTGACCTTGACCTACATTGATGCAACTATTCCGGGACTAGACGTGGCAGCCAAAATTGCAGCTTCACTTTTACACCCTGGTATGTTTTATGAATATATATTATCTGTTACAAACGAATACATGTAGTTATATCTTAGTGTTTTAAACACTCTGAAACTACATGTATAGAAATGTATTTTTAGATATTTTACCGAAAGCATCCTTAATTTTGAACAAAGATTGAATTATATAACGGTAATGTTTATTTAATATTGAGTTGTTTTAATTGGAAAGTAGTATTAGCATTTAATATAGTTTGAAGTCTACGTATGTAACTACCCAGTCATACACCCGAATATTGTCTTGTTTAAAAATAGGAAATACTTGTTCATTTCTATAGCTAGATCTTTTTCTTTATTGTGCGTGTATCTTTTGTGTTCATTTAACCCGATGAGCTTAACAGTTGGTATTTATTTGCAATAGTGCGTGTAAACATTGTCGTACTTTTTTAACGCTTCTTACATTCTTTGTACTACTTGGGAAGACTTACATATCGAATATAAAATCAAAAATTTTACTTTAAAGGTATTCTTCTGTAAATAATAATGCCTATGTAGGTATTGATAATAAATATCGATCATTTTAATTTAACAATGCGTCGTCTGCTCTTGTGATATAATTATACTTTTATACAAAAAAGCGTTTATGCCCATTTTTGCGAACATAAGCAGATGCCTTCGGACTCCTTAGACCACTTACCCTTTGTCCGTGTGCTTCTGCAGGTGTTAATACACGTAAAAGGGTGCATGAATCCTCTACTGTTGATCTATTTTATTTGCCTATCTAAAGAAATTTAAAAAATATTAGCAGAAGTGTGTAGAGTATTTGCAGCGTGCGGATAAAAACATGCCAACTGGTATGAAATTTAAATGGATAAACTGTCGTAAAAGGCATCTGAAAACCTAATTCCTGAAAATCAAGATATTTCAAAACTTGCCTAATTTGATAGCAGAATAACTGTCGTCATACACGTATTATATGCATTTAATATAACTTTTTCAAAATTAACTTTATCTTTTTATCTAGCTGCTGATGACGGTTTGTTCTCCCTCAACATTAACATTCGGGCTTTTAACAAACAATGTAAGTTTAACACAGACAATTATGTTTTCCAAACAAGAATATATAAATATTTGTTGATGTTGTCATTTTTTTTTCAAATATTCATTTTTACATACTCATTGTATAAAC